GTGGATGTAGCGGTCCCAAGTGATGGAAACATCAGAAAGAAGGAACACGAGAAACTCGAGAAATACCAAGGGCTCAGAGAGGAGCTGGAGAGAGCCTGGAAGGTAAAGGTGACAGTCGTGCCTGTGGTGGTCGGAGCACTTGGGGCAGTGACCCCCAAACTAGATGAGTGGTTGCAACAGATCCCGGGAACAACATCGGACATCTCAGTCCAGAAATGTGCAGTGCTGGGAACGGCAAGGATACTGCGCAGAACCCTCAAGCTTCCTGGCCTCTGGTAGAGGACCCGAGCTGAATGGGGGACTGGACACCACCCGAGGGGTGAGATGAGGATTTTTATTTATTTATTTATTTTATATAGTCGTTGTGTATGTAGTATCGTAGTTGAAAACATTTTTCATGTCTCGTTTAGTTTTTTCATTAATTTGATGTAACCATGAGCTGAAGAAGTTAACACCAGTTTTATTTTGATCTTTTATTGTACTTGATTGGATTGTGGTGGATTGTTCAAACTGTCATGGACGGGCACTGAATATACAATGTTTGTATTGTCTTTATTACTTTGAAAGCTACGACCTCATGAAAACTAAGAAGTCTGATGTATATACTATTCTGCGTTTGTCCTCCAGTGTTTTGGCCTGCTCGGTGTCAATGGCGCAGGGAAGACTTCTACATTTCGCATGCTGACGGGAGACCTGTCGATCACCTATGGAGAGGCCTTCCTTCAAAACCGCAGGTGCATATTGCTCAGAGTTATTAGTTACATTGAAAAAGTTAATTAAACTGATTATGTGATTTTAAAAATAACTTTCCTGATTGTTTGACTTTAAAAATAAATAGATCAGCAACCGCATAAAACATGATTTTCCTCTTTTTTAGATACAAAAAAAAAAAAAAACAGTGTACATAATTTAGAGACCACATGCAGATCTTTGGGTTGCGCAGTGCCTCAGGGGCAAGTGACTCTCTTTGGTTCCCAACTTTGCCGGGATACAAGGATGACACAGGTTACACATTTGTGGTCATCTGCCCTGCCCAACACTGCCAGCAAAATAAAAATAGGCTGCATAAATTTCTTGTTTTGCTCACAGACCATGAGTTGAGTGATTTGAAGCAGGGCAACACTCAGTAAATCAGTTGCCATGAATATATGTTGACAGCATTAAAACACATTAACAAAATCCAAAAAAAAGCACTTAAATGTAAAGTACATACAAGTTAGAGGTAAGGTCGGGCCAAAAAAAAAAATCCAGCCCGACCCGACCCGGCCTGCTAGTATTTAAGCCCGAGCCATTGACGGAAAAATTTCAGGCGGTTCGTCATTTTGATGGGTTAAAAAGTGGGCCATTTACCACAGCAGTACGTCCTTAAGAATCTAGCGCGGCACTTTAAGAGAGAGAATCAGAGAGACAAAGAAAAACAATGACAGGTGGATAATAGACAGAGACAGGAAGGAGTTCTTTGAATTGTCATTACAAGAGTTTAGTACAGTACATGTTGTGATGAGGCGACTTCTGTTTTTTTGCGAACCACGGTCTCTCGTGGCCAAAACTCTTGATGGCCTCGAAACGAAAAAAAAAAAAGTCCGCGAGAGAAGTCCGGCCCGACCTGACCCGAACCCGTTGCAATGATTGACATTTTGGGCCCGACCCGACCCGAATTTCAGGTCGGCTCAGGTCGGGCTCAATCTCAGGCCACCCGATCTTACCTCTAATACAAGTGGGTTTCTGAAATAACAAATATAAATAACAAGAACCAAAATAATGGAAATTGTTGAGAGCATCTTAATCAAATACCTGAGAAAAAAGTCAACTTACTAACCTGGATTTAAAAGCATTTACAATGTTCAATGTTGTTTGTGGATATGTTCCACAAGGAGGATGTGAGTTGGAGGAGAAGGAGCAATTTTGGTTGGACCTTGATGAAGTGATAGAGAACATCCTTCGAAGTGAAAGAGTTGCAATTGGTGCAGACTTCAATGGACATGTTGGCGCAGGAAAGAGAAATGATGTGGAGGTGATGGGCAGGTTTGGACTACAGACGAGGAACGCAGAATGACAGATGGTGGTGGACTTTGCTAAGAGGATGGAAATGGCTATTATGAATACTTTCTTCCAGAAGAGGCAGGAACATAGGGTAACCTTTCAGAGTGGAGGCAGGAGTACACAGGAGTACAAAGTAGTGGTAAGTGAGAGTGTAGCCAGACAGCATAGGATGGTGGTGTGTAAGATGACTCTGGTGGTGAGGAAGATGAAGAGAGCAAAAGCTGAGCAGAGGACAAAATGGTCGAAACTGAAAAGGGAAGAATGTCACATAACTTTTCCGAAGGATTTGAGACAAGCACTGGGTTGTCAGGAGGTGCTTCCAAATGACTGGACAACTACAGCTAATGTGATCAGGGAGACAGGTAGAAAAGTACTTGGTGTAACATCTGGAAGGAAAGTAGATCAGGAGACTTGGTGGTGGAATGAGGAGGTGCAGGAGTTTATACAGAGAAAGAGGTTAGCTAAGAAGTGGGATGCTGAGAGGACTGAAGAGAGTAGACAGGAGTACAGGGAGATGCGGCGCATGGTGAAAGTAGAGGTGGCATGTATGATGTCTGTAAGACAGCGGTGAGGTGTGCTGTAAGTGTGACAGAGGAATTCAAACTCCATGGCTGGACTTCACCGTACATGGCTGGACTTCACCGGGGTCAGTTCTGAGCCCCTTCTAATTCCCTATGGTGATGGACAGGCTGACATATGAGGTGAGACAGGGATCTCCATGGACTCTGTTGTTTGCAGATGACATTGTAATCTGTAGTGAGAGCTGGGAACAGGTGGAGGAGAAACTAGAGGTGGAGGTTTGCCCTGGAAAGGAGAGGAATGAAGGTCAGTCGCAGCAAGACGGAGTACACGTGTGTGAATGAGAGGGACCCAAGTACAAGAGTGAGGTTACAGGGAGAAGAGATAAAGAAGGTGGAGGATTTTAATGACTTGGGGTCAACTGTCCAGGGCAATAGATAATGTGCAAGAGGTGGAGAAGTGTGTGTGTGATAGAAGAGTTTCAGCTAAGATGAAGGGAAAGGTGTATAAAACTCTGGTGAGACCAGCCATGCTGTTTTGACTGGACACTGTGCCACCGAAGAAAAGACAATAGGCAGAGCTGTCGGTAATGAAGACGAAGATGTTGAAGTTCTTCTTTGGGAGTAACCAGGTTGGATCGGATCATGATGAGCCGCCTGTCTTTTTCTCGCCGTCCTGCTCCACCAAATCAGCTGCTTAGCGTCACTCTGGCCTGGGCTGACCAGTGACTCACGGTAGGGGCTCTCCTTGATTCAGAGGCTGATGAATGCTTTCTGGACTCTGAATTTGCTGCTCAGGCGTCCAGTTCGGAAGAGACATTAGAGAAGCCCCTGGAGGTTTTTGCACTAGCCAGTGTAACTCAATGCACCAGCTCTACTGAGCCTAATCTTTTGGCCAGAGTAGAGATAGAAGCTGGCCGTGAACTGGGCTTCTCGTTCGGCTGGAGTGAGGCATGTGCATCCGAACTGCATGGGTTCCTCCTCTGCTGTAGCCTGGGATGTTAAAGGCTAAGTCCCAGGAGTAGTGGAGAGAGTAGGACTGGCTGTTCTATGGGTTCTTAATGTCTGGGGAGTGACCGGAGACTTACTCAGGGCTCACTCACGCCTTCTCTCCCGGAGCCGTCCATGGATACGGATGGTGAGCATGATCAGTTCATCAAGGGAGGGAGGCTCTTTCTGGGTGGCCAGCTGGTCCTTGCCAATGTCGCTGAGGCCCCTCCGAAAGGTAACTCGTAGTGTCTGGTCATTGAAGCCACTCTCTGCTGCAGCCAGCCTGAACTCCACGGAGTAGTCTGTGACACTGCCACTGCCCTGCTGGATACTGTTCAGTATCCTGACCGTCTTTTTTATGCTCCTCTATTTTGTTCCTTCTCTGGCAGGTGACAGTCCTCTTTTGGCTTCTGACCTATTTTGTCCTCTCCTCTGGCCATGTGCCCACAGCTAGTCCCTGTCACACGGGTCCCCTTTTTATCTGATTGGCCATAGTTCTTTTCGTTTCTTTTCTGTGATCTCAGGTCTCATGCACTTACCCTGCAAGGTCCAAGATAAAGACATAAAATACGCTCTGCTGGCAAGCCCATCAATAATGTAGTCCACACATGCTTGGCCAGAATTCCCTACAGTGCACTTCCGAAGAGGGCTGTCAACTTGAACAGCCAGGTGTACCACTGAAGAGGAATAAGTATATTTTATGTGATGTTTTTGGTTTGTAGGAAGGTTTAGGCATGTTTTTGCTCAAGTACCAGGACAGAGTGTTCCCTGAGAGAAAGGAGTGCATGATTGTTTTGGTAAAACAATGTTGTTGGAAACAAATGTGCATTTCCTTT